ACAGTGTCCATAAAAGAAAAATTCTAACAAAATTTTAAAATTCATACAATAAGCTTTCCAAAAATATATAGTTTTGTGGACAAGGGAGGTCATCTTGGTTTCCTAATTAACTAATTAAAATACCTGTCATGTAAACTGCATCTCTACCTTAAGTGTCCTTTAACTCTACAAGGTACAAAACAATCTATTCAATCATATCATGTGCAATATGCAAATAAGTTTTTATACTAATCAAAAACACATTTACTTTTAAAAAAGTTCAGATAAAAATTATTTATTTAAGTGTTGTACCCAGAAGAACAAATTGCAGCAATGGCAGACATTTCAGTTTTTTTATATCCTTTGTAAGTTTTATTTTAGTATTAAAGAAAGTAAACAAACACATACCTCATACACAGCACCCAGTTCTTTAAAAAAAGCTTTTGTACATTGCAAGATGAAGTCATTATCAGGTGTGACAACCACGTATGCCACATCATGTGTTGCACACTGTGGTTCTAATAACAGCTTGTCCTGTTAGGAGACGAAATGAGACATGGTATTAATAACAGCTATTGAGTTAAACTATGATGTAATATTTAAAGTAGGCTTGTCAATTGACATATACTCACCCAATAATGTAATGCATAAGGTGAAAGTGACAACCAATCTTTATCATGACCAACTAAAAATGATGGTACTGGCAGTGGTTCGGGAGACTCCGCTGTAAATACAAATAATTGAGGACATAAAAACAAATTTTAGCAGTCAGTCGGCAATAACAAATAATTTATCAGTGAACATATTGTTTAATTCAAACACAAGTGGCATGAATTAAAGGGTGTTTTGCTTGAATATGGATATCTTTTGCCTCTGTTCAACAAAAGATCTATTCATGTGAGGGCAACAAAACATGCTACGTACAGACATTAATACACAATTCACAGCTGAACTGTGAGTTGTTTTCTTTAAAATAATCATACATCAGCTGTTAAACAAAAATCTAGTAGGGATTCTGTGACAGCCGCCAAATTACACAGATTGTGGCATTAACAGACTAAAATATCTTTGAAATAACAAGTTTCAGTAAAAATAAAGACAACATTAATTATTTAAGTTATTTTCAACAAATCGGAATAAATTGAAAACATAATTCAACATTTTTTGATGAGGCATATCCCAATTATGATGAAAAGTTTTCAACAGAGCCCTCTAGAGGCCACAACAGAAGATGTAATCTGAAAAATATGTTTATTTAAGTAAAACTAAATTTAAGTAAACTAAATTACCACATTTTTGGCATCCATATAGAATGTTAATGGCAGAGTTGACACATTTAGTTATTTGTCTGAAAAATTACAATATTACCTTTGTCTCGGCTGGCGGTCCTGAAGAATGTATGCCAAGTCAAAGGACCCTGCACTATGAACTGTGGAGGTTCCCATGATCGACTTGATCGTTTTCGTTGCACCACATCTTGAAGTATAGGCCTAAGTGTTGTCAATATCCTAACGATATCTTGTGAAGAGAGGTGACTTCGCACATCAACTTTTGTAAGAGATAACAAAAAAGATATAAATTAATGATGCTATGTTATAAACTTATTATACCAGTAATATAGTTCACAACATCTTATTGCACACAACCTTAAACTTTTATCATTTTAAGCAACATCAAATTTAAGGATCACAGAGTCATGTATAGGGTTATGTGTGATAAGACACAGAACACGAGGAAGTATGTGCATACATCCACTACTCTTGTGATAGAATTTTCAGTATTTTATTGTAATAATACTTGGCTGTTGTAACAATAATGTCTCTAATCAGCATACACCTAGCATCTTTGGTGGGAGATCCGGTAAACCTATATATTTCACAATGTTGAAAATCCATCAACTTTTTTTGCAATTTACAACTATCAATATCTTAGTTGTGATTTCATGCAGAATTCATAACTAATGAGTATTGAATATTGGTCAAACCTTTTGAGGGCAAAGAAGAAAAAGTTCCCTGTAAGTAACACTTGTTGCTCACTGATATATAACAGGGTCAATAAATAAACTATTTTTATTACTTGTTTATAAGCACTGGATTTATTTTTACACTGTCTAAATACTTAAACAGACAAGTCAGTTGAATAGCCATACCTCAGCATTTTATGAAAAGCTTTAATCATTTTGTAATATCCTGAATTATGGTCAGAAAAGACAAAAAAAAAACGTTTTGAACTGTGTGAAAGTTTGCACTCCATCAAACGGTGACATGGTTTAACTGGTATAAAGATAGTTCATGCATGGCACAGTCCTGTTAGTTATCTAATTTGAGAGGAATAGTTTTGTTTATAGTAATATAGTTGGAACATAAACATGTCAGTTATGAATTCAGAGGCTGATGATTGATTATAATGATTATGATTAAAATGATTGACATCGTCAAACGAGTACTCGTCCATATTGAGAAATATTACTTTGGAGAAGCATTAATTAAAACAAAATGGCCACCATTCAGCTAAACTATTACCTGTGCATATGTGTGACATGATGTATATAAAAAGATTGCACATGATCAGTCAAAGCATGTCAGATATTGCTCTGAAACAGAATTCATGTAAGCATAATGGACACAAGTCACCCATTTCAGATCCAATCTGAAAAACAAATTGTCGTGCATCAAGGTACTATGTCCATTGTTTGTACCAAGTTTGAACAAAATCCATCCATGCTGGATTTTGATGATTCTGCCATTTTAAATCTGATCATCAAACCAATACATCTGTATATTTATGACATGATGTATAATGAATATATAAAATTTGAACATAATCAGTCAAAGCATGTCAGAAATATGGCTCTAAAACTGCATTCATTAAAACAAGGTCGCAAGTTAGTAATTTTGAATCTGAAAAACAAATTTACATGCATCAGGAAACCCATAATGTCTAATGTAAGTACCAAGTCAGAACAAAATTCATTTGTAAACAGCCATGATCCGGTTCCGGAATGCCAAAAATGCCATTCGGCCATCTTGAATCAGTCTTGCATATGTATAATTCTGTGTATGTTTTGTAAAGTTTGAATGTCATCGGTCCAGGCATGTCTAAGATATAGGTCCAGACATAAGTCCCAAACGTGGAATAATAAGGCCACACCTGATCATTATTAGTAACTATTAGTCATGCATTAATCATTATGATTTCAAAACAATTTGGCATTTACATAATAAAATAAGTACTTTAAAATATTTTATCTTGGTGCTAAATAATTTGTTGTACAGTCCTCTATCTGTTTGAATAAATTGTTTTTGCAAATAGCAGCTATTTGCAGGGTATTTGTTGCGAGTTTGAAGTAGCATTAGATGTGATTTTTTCCTTAAAATTGAACTAATATGACCTGTGTCATACAAATTAAAAGACACTAGATAAAACAAGAATATACATAAGTAACGGCTTAGTGATCAAAAACTAAAATCAATTTCAATTATTTGCATACTACATATACCCAGTAGTTCATATGACCTGACATAGTCAGTCTTTACATGTTCATTTGCATACTACATATACCCAGTAGTTGATATGACCTGACATAGTCAGTCTTTACATGTTCATTTGCATACTACATATACCCAGTAGTTCATATGACCTGACATAGTCAGTCTTTACATGTTCATTTGCATACTACATATACCCAGTAGTTCATATGACCTGACATAGTCAGTCTTTACATGTTCATTTGCATACTACATATACCCAGTAGTTGATATGACCTGACATAGTCAGTCTTTACATGTTCATTTGCATACTACATATACCCAGTAGTTCATATGACCTGACATAGTCAGTCTTTACATGTTCATTTGCATACTACATATACCCAGTAGTTCATATGACCTGACATAGTCAGTCTTTACATGTTCATTTTTAGTGACATTTATTTTGCTATTTTAATGATTTGAGCAAGTTCATAAACTTGCCAGGGTAACAATGAGTTCTTTTGTTATTTAATAGATTTAATTTAGTAGATTTTAATTAATGACGAAATTAGCAAATTAAAAACCATTAATAATTCATTAATGCATTTATGGTGTCTATATAACACACGCAGCCCATGTGACCTGACATGTGACCTGACATAGCCTGTGTTTTTAGAAGATATAAATGGTAATCAAGAGTATTACATGATACAATACCTCTGTGGAAAATTAGCATATTTTACGGGATATAATAACAGGTAAATAGGTTTCACTGTTTTGATCAGTTAAACATATACTCTTAATCGCTATGAAAGTGATCAAAGTTGTGTGCTATAGATATTTAAAGCAGAATCATTATGTTCATTTTGTGAAGTCAAAATTGAGATTTGCATATATAATATAATCAGTGCATTATAGAACAAAAATTCCAGTTTATGTAATTCATTGAAAACAAATTAAATGCAATGATTTTTGGAAATTTGAAAAAAATGTTAGGACTAATATCAACAATCCACTTCACACTACTTAAACACATAGCTTGGCAAATGCAAAAGTGATTGAACAATGACTTGACTATAACATTGCTTCTCTATGTTAATTTATTAATAATTAACAAACCTGTTGTAAATGCCCAACTGTGGAGATAGGTTCCTTTCCACATTGTATCGTCCAATTTATTATTAGATCCGTCAAGAAGCTGTCTCCCTAATTCCAAGGCTGAGAAGCATGCATCACAGCCATCAGACAATTCTAACTGATTCCTTGCAATTTGTCCTGAGTTGTTACCCGATCTGTGTTTTAAAACCACACTGTCTGACTGACACAGTGTTCCGTATGGTGAAGAACACTGGTCTTTGATCACATCCACAAGAATATCTGGTACTCTCCGTCTCCCTTCTGTTAACGACTGGTTTCCTTCTTCTGTGTTATTAACAGCTTTCCGAGTGGGATCTGGATCCATGTGATCAGTGTTTTGTGCCCACAATGCAATATCGTGCTGCTGTCCTGTAATATCCTGTTCATCCTCCGCAAAAAGGCCGCTTCCTGTACCATACCTACGGTTCTTAATGGCACTAAACCCACACACACACTTGTATTGTGCCTGATTATCATTGAGATACAGACTAGCATCATTTCCCTTAATGTTCATGTTACACACACAAATAACACAGCTATCAAAGTTGCGATCTTTAAAGAGGTTCAATAATGAATCTGACAACACAAGATTAACAAACAAACTATGAGCCTCTGGAATGTTATTAGCTGGCGTTGGAGGCTCAATTGAATTGAGATTTTTGACGTACGACGACGGAGTGGATGCTGGTGAAAAAGACTCAAAGTTCTGATGGTGTTCCTGGGTGGCATGAAACGTGGCAGGTGATTGTAGAACTCCTGGGGTGCCAGCAGATGGCAGAGGCAGCATTGGATGCTGAGTAGCCTTTATCATATCTGTATCAACACTACTAACACTGGGTAAATCCTTGCTGGGCGGCAGGTAGTCTTGTTTTTGAGATAGGCCAACCTGGCAGTAGAAAATAAGAACAGAAATAACACAAATAAACACAACCTCATTCTTTCTGTCATGTGCTTGATTAGCAATGTGTTTTTTTTCTTCTCATTATTCATGTAATGTTACCTAAAGTTGTTATCACGGTAACCATGACAATACTATCATATTCATTAAGCATGTGAAATGGAAATACACAAATGAAGTTTTCACTCAACACACAATTTTCAAAATGCAATTTTTCTAGTTTTATTTCAAATTAATAAGATAACACAAGATACTTGCAAAGAGGTATTAAAAATTATGCAGAGTTTAGTTTTAACTTACCTGCCATGATGGCTTGTAAAGACAATTGTTTGGAAATTTCAGAGGTGGTAGTTTTGAGCTTGGCAGTGATTTCAATGGGGCATACATAGAAGATCCAAAATATCGTTGCATGACGGGGATTTTGAACACGAATGACCAGTCCTAAAAAAACAAAAGATGATAAATATAACATACTGAGCAGTTTGCCAACCGCCTTAGGCCAAACTACTGGTGGCAAACCATTTGAAAAATTTTCTCTCCTGAGAAATTATCAATTAGGTTAAAGCTGATCGACAGAAATTACTAACTTAGTAACGAAAGTACAGAAATCATACAGATATTTTTTTCTTAAAGCATTGTTTTTACCTTGATGGGTTCCGGTTTGGGACTACCCAGACTTTCTTCAATTTCTATTTCCATCAAATCTGGTATTGCTGAAGGCAGATCCAGAAGAGAGGATCCAGGAGCAGAATCTGGATTGATGTACTCAGCACTTCCAGGATTGCACTCAAGCGACGGTGGAGTTGGAAACATCCTTGCAAGTTCGCTGGCTATAAAATGATGGGAATGAAAAAAAATTACTTTTTGTGCATTTACTCTAAGATGTTGACTGCCATTTAAAAAAGATTTCCTTGACAATATTTATTTTATTTTATGCTGTTACACAGTCTCTGAGTTCTCAAGTTTAAGGAATATAAAAACTTTGAACATGAATAGTCAAGACAATATCAGTGATGCAATTCCAAAACTGCATTCACTAAAAATAAAATGGCCGCCAGTTGTCCATAATGATCACATAATATTAATGTACATAAACAAGTTTGAACAAAATCTGTCTAGTATGCATGACCAAAATGCAGATCTGGAATTACGGAAATGATGGATTTTCGAATTTTAACGGTATTTTGGTGTGTGACCAAAGATACACTATAAAAATTACAATCCTAAAAAAAATCCCTGTCAACAGTAACATGGATAGGTAAAAAATACATACACGTCATTAGATAGCCATTATTGGTGCTATTAAGAGAGCTTCCTTTGTTATGCGTACTGGAGGGTTTCATAACGCTATCATCAGCTGTTATCATTGAGATCTTCTGTGATAGGCTATCAAATGCACCCTACATAATGAAAATATACACCAAATGAATGAACAATGAAACAAACATTCAAATCAGGTCAAAATTAAAACTAAGCCAGCAAAATAAGATCAGACATCCGATGAATGCATATAATATTATACAGAATAAGTGGAACCCCAAAGCAGCAGCAATTTTCATTGAAGGATGGAGCCAAAAATTTAATCATTATCAATATACAGTTTTATTTATCAGTATTACTTTTTCGGTAGAGGGTATGACGTGACTTATAGGGACTATCAATTGTCAAGAAGAACTGATGGAGCCATCAAATGAAATACATGTTGTTGTCTAACAAGCTGTACAGAGTTGAGTCTAGTAATGGAAAGATGTCTGTGAAAGATAGGAAGGCACTGCATAAGCAGTTAGCCACATTCACACAGAAAGACAGAGCAATGACAACAAACACACTGTCATCATATAGAATAAGGAATCTGATAATAAGAGAGTGTTTGAAGATTACACTAACACTGCATGGAGTAGACTGGCGCAGTCGGGCGATTAACTTGTTTTTGTAGTTTAAATAAAATAAAACATTTCGCAAAATGGAAGTGTTTATTCTGCAGGAAATTTATTGCTATTAAATATTCATGAATCTACATATCATAATGAGGTGGGCGCGGAAATACATGCATAATGAAGTCAACATGGTAAAGGTCACACTGCAGACCCAACATGGTGGCACGTTGAAATTTGAGTTTGTTGTAGTCGTCGTAAATAGACTTAGAATGTAGCATAGAAACTGTAAAATATAGGTTTTAATGTAGTTTCTACTCGTAGAATAAAAAAAAAATGGGCTGCTACAATCAGCAGACGTCTTCTCGGTCAGAGGTCAGTTGAAGAGACGTTGTGATTGGCTTAGATGATTGTCAATTAGAACACTCATTAACATAATTACCTGTTGAAAAATCAACGGGTTCCTGCAGTGTTGATAGAGGGCCATGCAGAATAAACCCGTCGGGGGTTTCACAGTTACAGGGGATTTTGTGCTAACACCTCCATTTCGCGAATTTTTTTAGTTTACTTAAACTACAAAAACAAATTAATCGCCTTGACTGTGCCAGTCTATGCATGAAAGTAAAAAAAATGAAATGAACATCACTTACACCACACTCATCGTCATCTGATGATTCAAATAACTGATCAAGATCATTTGCTGTGACTGCTAAGTCTGTTTCACGCATTAAGCTTGCTGACGGGTCATGTCTGGCAAGTGGTAACCCTGACAATGGACCTGAATATAGAATAAGTATATACATAATGAGTATAAATTTTGCATGAAAGATAAACAAGACGAAAAACGATCAGCACTAAAAAAAATAACAAACTCAATTTGACAACTCTTACTTTTAAGATTAACCAGTGGGTTTTTATCAGATGGTGCTGCAGTCCCTGTTGATGAAGGTGCTTGCGACTGTGGTTGCTGTTGCTGCTGATGCTGTTGTTCTTGTTTTAGGCGTTCTTCTTCTGCTTTTTTCTGCTCGTCCTAGCAAAGCACAACAAGACATATTTAAGACATATAAACCACAACCACAAATCATTATCTTTTTTTTTCAGTTCATTTAGTGCAACATTTCGAAGCAAACTTTAAAGTTTTATACAAATCGAAGTGTGTGTGTTTACCTCTTGTTTTTTACGATCTTGCTGCTTGTTGCTACGAATACTGTTCCGTCGCTGAAGAATTCCACGTCCTTTTTTGCCTTCCTTACCACGATTTCTTGAATATGGTGTTCCAGTTTGTGTCTATAGTTTGTAAGGTAGAAAAGTATTAGTGATTTTAGTACAGGTATGTTGTGATGTTATGCTAAAGATGTTAGTGATTTTAGTACAGGTATGTTGTGATGTTATGCTAAAGATTTCTACATTACACCAAACAAAGATGCAACTCTGTAGGCTTTATCTTTGAAATGATCTTCCTAAAATATTTATCATAGCAATTCAAAATCAAACTGATTGTATCCTGGATTAATACAACTTATTTTGACAATACATTCATACATACTTTAAATATTAACGCAAGTGTATGAGTTAATATGATATGAACTTAACAATAATTTTTGCAAGAACATAATTATTCAAAAATGACAAAAGGTCTCGATCAAATCTTTTGAAATAAAAACATCGACAAATGTTTTGCAGGTTTATTTTGTGAAAGGTGACATCAGACAATACAAGAGATGAATCAACCATTTATAGATAACAAACCAACATACCACATTTTCTGGTTGATCTTCACTGAATTCATACGGATCAATTGGTTCAGGCGAAGGCTGCTGAGGTGCTTTTGGTTCCAAAGCAAACAAAATTGGTACTTTTTTATCAAATGCTGGTACTTCAGGCTCTAATTTGTAATCAGGTTTTAGTTTCTTAACAGGTTGGTGATAAAATCTACAATAAAATCCACAAGAACGTCAGTAACTAGATGCAACAAACCAGCAGCCATGTACGAACTACCAAATTCAACATTGCCATCACTACTCTACCTCCTATCCTCTTCATAATTCAACATTGCCATCATTACTCTACCTCCTATCCTCTTCATAATTCAACATTGCCATCATTACTCTACCTCCTATCCTCCTCATAATTAAACACTGCCATCACTACTCTACCTCCTATTCTCCTTATAATTCAACATTGCCATCATTACTCTACCTCCTATCC